TCTAGGAGATCTCCACTATCACAACTGGGTTTTCTACGCTCACCCTAATAACGTTTACACCTCACAATGTTGGTTTTCAACGCTCACCGATCAACGTTCACAAACACTCACAATGTCGGTTTTCAACGTTCACCGATTAACGTCGACTCCTTACACTCGGTTTTATAGTTCACCGAAAACTTTACAACACTAACAATGTAACTACAATAAAATGTTCTCTAACATGAATGAGAATACAATTAAGCACAACTCAATTGTTACAATCTCTCACAACCCCAATATACTATGTGTGTAAATACTAAAAGCTCAAGTGGGTGTGTGTAACAATGAGATTCAATAAAATAAAATTGAACTAAACTCAATTATGAAGATTTAGCTTATAGAGATGATAATCAATAAACAATGTAAATACAAAGCTAGAAATTGAGTTTAGAAAACTTCTCTATAGATAACAAGAGAGAGGGAGAAGATTGAATGCTCAAACACCAAAGGATGATCTCCACTTGCTCTTGTGAAAATTTCTTCATAAACAAACTCTTTTAAAACAAACTTGAACCAAAATTAAACACCCTTAAACTTGTTTAAAAACTTTCTTGGGTTGATTTGAGAACTGAGATCAATGGGGTACTTATAGCCTCCCAAAACCTCAGCCAAACACCCCAAACAAAAGACCAAAAAGCCCCAAACAACGGCTACAGAAAATAGTCATTAGGAATGACAAGATAGAGCGGCAGTTGACTGTGGGAAACTCGCGGTCGACCGTGAGCAACTAAAAGGCAAAACTGGGCTTTTGAAAAGCTGACGGTCGACCGCGACGGTCGACCGTGAAACTCTCTGGACTGCATACGGTCAAGCGCTATGGTCGATCGTGAGCCAACTAAACTCATACTGAGTTTCTGAACTTAGGGACGGTCGACCGTGGTGGTCGACCGCAAACTGACATATGCAAAAATCTAATTTTTCAAATTTAAAACTCTGTTTAAAATATCAAATAAATTCAGAAAAATATAAAACTTTGGAAAATAATCGTAGACATGATAATACACATGCTACAAAAACTGGTTTTCAAAAAGGACTTTCCAAATGTAAAATATCATCATTTTATAAGGAGGTCCAAAACATAGAAATGTAAACATATGAATTTTGACAATTTGCCTAAACCATATTTTGAAATTTTACAAAATAATTTTATAGACTTGAAGAAAAATGTAAACTATTGTTATGAAGTCTATAAACAATGAATGTAGTATTTTATCAACATACACATATAATGCACTAAAACATGATTTCATTGAACTAAATAAAATTGATATTGATGAAATCATATATATGCATATAAGTATAAAACAAAAATATGTTTTCTAATTATATTAAATTGTTTCATATTAAATCATCATCAAAACAAGAAGGCCAACACTTGGATTTCTCCATAGTGGGTACAATATAAGCATTATTAATAATTCCCTATAAATTAATATTTTTAGATTGCACAAATAGTTTAAATCTAGAAGCCCATTGTGCATAGGAAAAATTAATGAATTTAGGAGCAACATTTAATTCACAGCCTAACAAAGGTGCACAATTCATGTCCATGACAAATATATATGTGTGCAAGCAAGACAAATAAAATCTAAACAATATTAGCACAAAAAGATAACTTGGATCTTTAACTCAAGGCGATTAGACCTTAAATCAAAGAGCATCAAGCTCTGATACCAATTATTAGACCCTAGAGGGGGTGATTAGAGTCTTATGCTAATCTAATCCGATTTTATGCTAATTTAAAACTTACTAAAGATTTATTCTTACAAGATAAATATACAATATGATATGAGAAAGAATATGCAATATGAATAAAACGATATATCCTAGCAAAGAGGTTTATGATGAAATATATGTAAGGATATAAAATTAACACAAGGGTAAACAATCTAAACTAAAGATACAATTGCGATAGGGTAATATAAACAATGCAAACACATAATATGATCACGGAGTTCGGACCTTCCGTCCTACGTCTCCGCTCCCCACTCCCGGGGAAAATCTACTATCACAACCGGGTTTTCTACGCTCACCTGAATAACGTTTACACTACACAATATCGATTTTCAACGCTCACCGATCAACATTCATAATCTCACAATGTAACTACACTCCATACCCTCTAAGTGTTGGTCTCTAGCCCGTGTCCTTCCTCAAGTGCTTGGATACAACCTCTCCCTAGGTTCGTTAACCGACACCACTCCTCTTGAAAGCGACCCCGTCTCTCACCACACACTCCTCTCGGTGTACTAGTATAATACAAAGTGAATCCTCACAAATTAAGCTTACAATAAATTAATGTTCTCTAAATAAGGCGAGAACTCAATTGGGCACAACCCTTAGTCACAAACCCACAACCCCAAATTATACTATGAATGTAAATACAATAAGCTCAATAGTTTGTATGTGAACAAAAAGATATAAATCAAAACTAAACTCAATATAGTTCTAGCTTAATAACAATGATAATCAAATATATAAAAGAGCTAGAAATAGAGTTTAGAAAACTTCTCAATAGATCAAGAGGTCGAGGGAGAATAGTTGGATGCTCAAACACCAATAGATGATTTCCTCAAGCTCTTGTGGAATTGATTTCACAAAATCAAACTCTCAAATACTTAAAAGCTTTTAAAACAAACTTAAACCAAACATAAACCCTTATTTAAAACTTTCTTAAACTAGTTTAAAACACTCTCCTAGTTAGTGGGAGAATTGAATGCAATAGGGTATTTATACCCACTCAAAACTTTAGCAAAAACCCCCACTGAAATGATACAAAAGCCCTCAGAAAAACTGAGCTGGAACTAGCCGTTAGAATCCAACGGATAGTTCGGCGGTCGACCGTGGAAAACTCGCGGTCGACCGCGAGCAACAAAAACAACAGAAAAAAGCTCCAGAGACTTCGGCGGGCGACCCCTCGTTACGGTCGCCCGGGAGCCATCAAAAACATACTGAGTTTCTGGACGTAAGGCGGTCGACCGTGGCGGTCGACCGCAAACTGATATATGATAAAAACAAGTTTTCTAGACTGAATAAAAGATGTACATGATTATTGTTAAGTCCAAAAACTGAGAATATAATATTTTCACAAAATTTTATATTTTGCAAACTTTTCAAAAACAATAAATATGAGTTCATTAAATATAAAGTTGATATTGATAAAATCATATGTAAGCATATAAACATGAAACAAAAATATATTTTTCAATTATATTCAATTGTTTCATATTTAAACTTGAAAAACCAAAACAAAAAATATGAAAGATGTAATTTCATATTTATATAAACTTGGAAACCAAAACATGTATGTATATATATACCTATATATATATACATAGAAACGAAAACTAAAATGTGTGTGTATATGATTGAGCTTAAAGTACTAATACACATAATATAAAAATCTAAACTAAATATACCCAAGCTTGTGATCTTCAACGAAGCTCTATCTTGGTACACTTTGCGGATGAAGCTTGAACTTGGATCTTCAACTTGAATTGAGACTTCACTCCACAATTCCGCCAACATCCATTGGATATGATCGTGAATGCTCGATTCCATCCAACCTCCAACATGTTGTTTGTCTATAATAAATAGATAAACACAAACACTAGACAAACAACATTAGTAGTAAATTGTTTGTTAAACATCATCAAAACAAAGAGACCAACATACTGTTCATAGGTAACCTACTGACTTGGCTAGACCATCGTAAGCAATTGTTTTTGTATATTGGATGGTACACTTGTGTCTAATTTTCTACTAGACAAATGATCGCATATATTGGCTAATTTTGGAGTCTCGGACAGTCAAATTAAGTTGCCCACCTTAGAAAGAGGAGCGATAACTGCACTATACACTCTGCTATTTTTGAAATAATAGAAACAAAAAAACATGGTTTATGGTGGCTTATAATTTTTTTCCTTGACAATTTTCAAGGAAGGATCCACACTTGGTGATAGTTGTTAAACTTATGAGATACTAACCCGGAAATTTGACAACTAATAAGTTAAACAATTATCTCATAAGTTCACTCAAATGTTTAACAACTAATTCACATGTTTAATAACAAACCAATTAGTTTAGCAACTATCTCATAAGTTTAACTAATGCATTAGTTTAACATCTAAATCGAAATTAATAACTAAGTAATAAGTTTAACAATTACTTATAACTTTAACAACTGACTAATAAGTCTTAACTCATTAAAAGTTACAGAAATGGCAAATAATCTTGAAAATTTGCAATAATCATCCAAAAATTTATAAATTACAAATAACCACTTAGAAAGTTTAAAAAATTGCAAATAAGCCCTCAAAAAATGCAAAAAACTTTAAAAGTTTGAAAATTTGTAAATAAAACCTTGAAAATTTGAAGAAAACCTACCAAAAAATTGCCAAAACCCCCACAAAATGTTTTATATATTGTAAATAACACCCTAAAATTACAAAATCCCAAATAGTTTTAGAATTTGTAACTCACCCCCTAAATTACAAAAGATCCCCCAGAAAAGTTTCAGAAACTGCAATAAAACCACCAAAAAATTTGTAGAACCGATTTTGTGGATGTTAACTGTTAAGCTTAACAGTAAAGGAGAGATTTATTAGGGGTAAAACGGGATAAAAAAAATTCATTCACAAAGTGATCTAACACCATACATTGGAGGTTTTTGGCAAGGTTTGGGCTCTTTAAGGGCTTTTTCGCACGTTGAAAAAGTCAAAGGGCTTGAGTCTGTTTGCTTTATGATATTGGGCCTAAAGGCAATTTTCCATTTTAATACATTTAAATTGCATGAGATAATTTTTATTTTCTAATTTTAAGTTTTCTAATTTGCTTTGTTTGAATGGGGGTGAATGAGGGGCAGGGGAGGGAAGTTAAATGGATTAACATTGTTTGTGAGTTTTTTTGAAAGGGAATGGAGGGAAAGAAAATAACAAATTTTACATATATCCTCTAACCTCAATTCTATATGATTTGGTTAATCCCCCAAATTGGGGTGCAGAGGAGGTGAATTATTGTGGACCATCATGATACAAATTCAACGGCTAAGAAATGATTCAGCTCCATTTCCTTTGCTAAACTCCCAAACATAATTATTACATTTTCTCTTCCCTTTCTTTTTTTTACTTTATATTGTTTTTCTTAATTTCCCTTATTTCCCTTTCCTCCATTAGTAAATTCCCAAACATAGCATAATAGGTAGAAGAGCTAACCAGTTAGAATTATATTTAAAAAGACTTCTAGAATATATTTCTGCTGTCTATCAAAAGGTTAACCTTGTCTCTGTATAAATTGTTTAATTAGGTCTCTCACGCATGCGAGAACAGCAAGCAAATGGCAACAAGAAATGATATCCACATGGGGAGATCTTCAGGTAGGTATAGCAGTCATTTGGCTTGTTCACATGTCCGTAAAAATGTCAACTTGAGACTTAATTTTCCAAGTCCATGGCATAACTGAGTCCGAGCTTTGCTAGTGATTGTAGAGCTTTATGGCTGTCATCCTTGAGATCTTAGCTATTTTTAACCATCATCAAGGTTAAGCTTTGCTAGTGATTGTAGACAATAGATGAAGAGATCGAGGGAGGCCAAACCATATCACTTCATTGATTTTTAATATATATATATATATATATATATGCATTCAAACATGAAAGTATCGGAAAATGACAATACCATAGTTCTAATTTTACAGAACGAGCGCTCCATAATTAACGTGGAAAACAAACTAAAGGTAAAACAAATCATATGAGTCATGACTTTTATATTTATTGAGTTACAAAAATCGGATGTTTTTGGACTTTCTTTCCTGCAATTTGGACCTTGATTTAAGTAGGTTTAAGCTAGGAAAGATCTACGTACGGTTTAGTTCTTGATGAGGCGAAGGTTTGCATGCTACATTTGTGTATTTATACACCAACAAAGACATTGTCGATGTCCCGCTAAATATGTAATGGTCATGCACGTGCCTTAGATTGGTAGACATAATTCTAAGCTGGCAATAAGCTAGCTAGATGAACTAGCTATCGACGGACTTAATGTACAGTCCTTCTCATCAAATTTTGAATCTAATTAAGTTAGACCAAAATACGTTGTGTAAATACGGTGAATCCAAAAATATATAGGGGCTCTAAATGATTGGTAATTTTACTTTTTCTTGATGGATGGTGAACTTTAGATTATAAGAAATGGGGCCATGGCAAAAGAAACATAAAATCAAAGGTACATATGGGAATGATGCGTCGACCCATATGCACGTTAGCACCTATAAGTTTAGTTACATTTGAGTGTACGTGACTTTTAGAAAGACTTGCTAGATATACGATCTTCTCTATAGAGGCACGAAGAAAATTCTAGTCTGAAAATTTTCCCTATACAAGAAAGGACGTACAACTAGATAAAATATGAAATAATTCTTAATATGAAAGAATTCTTACTACTAGAGATTTAGTGTATATGAAAAAACAATTTATGTGACTTTTAAGAAAGAATTGCTAGATATACAATCTTCTATATATAGAAGCACAAAGAAATTTCTAGACTGAAAACTTTCACTAAACAAGAACATAAAATATGAAAGAATTCAAACTACTAGAGATTTAGAGGATGAAAAAACAATTTATGTTTGCAATTTTTAATCTCTTGAGGGTTTGAAAAATATTTTATTTCATATATAAAAGGGTGCGTTGATAGTGGGAGTTGACATTATGTTTTAAAGAGTTAATTGCGGATAGACCTTGTGTGGTATTGACCCAAGTGTGAATAACCTACTTAGTAAACTTTTTTAACTCCTTGAAAAGTTCAAAAAAGAGAAAGCAATGGGGGCCAATCCTCACAAATAGAACTCTAGGGTCTATCCGCCTCCTCAAAACTTTTTTAACTATTTTAAAAGTTAAAAAAAAGGCACTGAGGAGGACTGTTCATACAAGTAGAACTATAAATGGTCTAATCATAATTGGATGATACGTGCAAATAACAACGAAATTGATGTAGAATGAGTTGATGTTATGTTTTGGGGCAGTTGGACCACCAAAAGCCCAAGCGAGAGACTTGGTGTGTGTCTATACGTGCGCGCACACACATATGTATATAATATGAAAATTACATATTGTTTTAAATGGAGCCAACCAAAGGCACTGATAATTTGGTTGACCATCATTAGAGTTACGAAATTCCCTCTGAATTGAGAGCTATAATACTTGTGTTAATTTTTTTACTATTTTTAGTAATGGTATAAGAGCGGAGTTTAATTTTGAAACAAATCTATTTTGATCTCAGAATTGCTGATTAGTTTCCTAAATCATAAGGAGTGAACTTAACTATAGTAACATTTATTAAATTATCACTATATTTCGTCAAATGTTCACTAAAGCTAACTAGTTCATATGTAGATTTGGCGAAGGGTTCGAAGAAGAACAGGTTTTGGAGCTCAGGGAACAGTTTTGGAGTTGTTCGGTCGACCGTGATGCAAGGACGATCGACCGAATTCATGCACAGACCCTAGAATCAAGTCTGGACTTGGTGTGGTCGACCGTCGCGGTCGACCGTCATACCCTGTAGGATTTTTCTGGTTCTGTCGTTTGATCGCGGTCGGTCACGAGCTTTGTAGCGGTCGACCGCCAGTCGAGTCAGACCCATATGTGAGTTTCCTATTCTGATTTGGATTGGTGTTTGCTATAAATACAAATACACGTTTTAGGATTTCTTTGGCTTTGATTGGTGATAGAATTAGGGATATTTGGAGCACAGAAAAGAGATATTTTCTGAGCTATTGGTTAGAGTTTTGTTAGAGAGAATTAGAACTTTGTTGGTGAGATTAATTTGTGAGTTTGAGTGATTTGTAATCTCAGTTTGTACTCTTCTTCTCTATTAGTGAAAATCACATCCCCTTCTTGCCCTATGGACGTAGACAACTTGCCGAACCACGTAAAATTGGTTGTTTGTGTTTGTGTTGTTATTTTGCATTGTTTGGTCTTCTCTCTCGACGTTTGGTTTGGTTCCTCGAAGCACATCGGTTTTGGCTTCCGCGCATAACAAGTGGTATTAGAGCTTGGGGTACACTTGGGCTAATTGGAGGAGTAGATCGCTTTGGAAGTTTGTCTAGGACTTTGTTTGGTGATAAATGTAGGATTTTTACTATTGTGGATCTTGTTAACAGTCGTGTGGGGGTGAGATCTTTTGGAGGCCCTCGTTAGGGTTTCAATTGGAGGTAAAAATCTATCTTTTTCAGTTTAGATCTAATCTTTGATTTGTTCCACATTGGTTTGTTCGTGTTTTGAGAAAGATGGCCAAGAAAGAAGGATTTGAGGCTGGGTTATTCAATTATTGGTGTCGTGCATGGATTGTTGAGGAGTGCTTTGACCTGCAGATTGAAGTCCTGTGAGCACATTGGTCTGAGCAAGGAGACCGAGGTGGAGTTTAGCACTTCTATCCATCGATCGAGAGGTCTTCTAGGTGGTGTTCATTCAGGCATTTGGGGACCTTCCAAGGAGGCATCATTGGGAGGTAATTGGTATTTAGTTTTCATAGTTCGAACTGTTCTAGGCATTAGTGGGTTGTAACCAATTCCCTTTCGTGTGAAGTGCTAGAAGTCAACAACAGATGGAGGAAGTGTATTGGCAGAAAGGTGATCCGTTATTCTGATTTTGGTAGTGATCATTTCTTGCGTTTGTGCCAAGCTCACGACAGTTTGAAACACATTATTAGAGAGGAAACATTGGGGCGACGAGATGAGATAACAGTTTTGATGGGTCGTTCCTTCATGGAGGAGGATCGGCGTTGGTTGTCGAGCATTGGATTACAGAGGAGTTTTGGAGCTTTGACATATTTGGGTCATCTTAGTCATAGGTTGTCGACTGCTGCGTTTAGAGTTATTAGATCTGGTGGAGCTGCTTCAGATTTTGTGTTACGTTGGATGTTTGGTTAACCAGCATTTGGTCACATCGAGGATGTGAGATTTGATCTGATTGCATGTTTAGGATTCAGAGGCTCGTTTGGTTATCAGTTGGGAGACTTTGATTTTGTTCTGAGCAGGTATGTCACATTTGACTCTCGGCAAGTGAAGAATGTTAATCAGATTGTTGGGATATCACAGTGAGTGAAGGGTGATGCTACTCCATGTTGGGTGGAGATTACTCCACATACTCCAGATTATACTGCATCGTTTGAGATTCTAGCTGATGTGACATAGATTGAGGATCATTTGGATTTGGATGCAGATGATGAGTTGGTTGATTTGAGTGCAGCTAGTGGACATAGTTTGGATTTGGATATGGCTGTTGGTTCATCTAAGGTGGAGGTGTTTAGTTTGTTTTATTTTGGGGCCATTGGGAGAGCTATCAACCGCAGATTTGTTGGTGAAGAGTTGAGAACTCTTCTATTTGATTGAGGGCCTTTGAAAGCCATTTCGGGGAACAACATGAAGGCTTGATTTCTTGGGCAAGAGAATATGTAGGTAGTCATTTATGATGCAGCCGATTTGGTGAGTTGATACCGATGTTTGTGTTAGCCCTTATGTTTTGATGATGTTTTACAACCACCATTATCGGTACTAATGGCTTATTGAGTGCAAATGTAGTAAATTCATTTATCAAGCTTGTTAGTGCCATAAATGGAGGATTGGATGGAACATACGCTACAACGATGATATCCAAAGGAGGAGGAGGCATAATGATGAAGCAATGTTATTTCAAGAACAACAAATTCATATAGAAGCTTCATCAAAATTAAAGCTATATCAAGACTCAAGAACTTTATTCTATGTGAGGATATTAGCTAGTTTTTATTTTCTCTCTAGTGCTAGAATGTAGGTAAAGAGTTATTGATTTCACTTGAAGCTATTGGGAATCACACACACGTTTTCATACTTATGTTTTTAAGCGTTTTTCACAAAATACTATTTTTTACAAGTATGATGACCTATCTGCAAAATTCTTTTTCCAAACAGTTTGTTTTTAGTATTAAAAACATTTTACAAAGTTTCATAATTTTTAGAGGTCAAATAAATATTTTGTAAATATTTTAGTTAAGTCAAAAATCAGTTTCTGCAATGTATCAGAATGCGGTCGACCGGACCGGTCGACCGCACATATGATCATTCGTTACTGGACTCCAGAGAGTTTGTCGGTCGACCGGCCCAGTCGACCGAAATCTCGATTTTTCTATCGGTCGACCGCGTCGGTCGACCGATGAAGTCTCTGTTTGTTTTCTGGGTTTTCAAAGTTGTTCGCGGTCGACCGGATTTTCAGTCGGTCGACCGAAGTATTTTTTCGGTCGACCGAAGTATTTTTTCGGTCGACCGAAAATCCCTTCGGTCAACCGAAATTTTCTTCGGTCAACCGCGACTTTTTTTTTAAACGGTCGATTGCCTCGTTTG